CCAAACCACACTAAACCGGGCGCCTCCAAAACGGCACCAAACCACACTAAACCGGGCTCCTCCAAAAGCCGGAAATTGAAAACAGAGACAGAGGCAGGCAGGTGCTGCCGCGACAAGGAAACAATAATAAAAATGGGACTTACAGTTTTGTTGATTTCCTGAAAATCAAAGGGTTATTGCAATAATACACATTCAAGCAGATTAGCCAGAAACAGTCATGACACAGTCATGTTTTTGAGAAAGATAGAAAGAATGGAGACCGAGAGATCCGACACTCACCCTTTGTAAACGGACGCGCAAAGTTGACCGAGGATATCAGGACAAAAATAAAATCGTTGTGGCTCGACAGGCCAGCTGAGGGAAGAAATCAACCAGGTTAGAGTGTGACACATACCTTTTGTAGATGGAAATGATGACCCGACGCTTAACTTAGCTAACAGACGTAGCGAGGGTGGCCATCTCAGACTAACGGACGGACGTACGGCGGTGAAATATCTTCATGAAAATGTAAGAAAATGATGTGACGCGGCGGCCACGCTATAGGAGAGACAACCAGGTTAGAGAAGAACGAAATACCACATACCCTCTGTAGATCAGCGTCATAGAAATAAATTCAAATGATGACGAACGGACGGCGAGGGAGCTAACGATAGAAATAGACCGGCGCCGCAGATAAAACAACCAGGATAAAGCTCCTCGGAGTTTTATCTGTCTGGCAGCCTAGAGCTATACCTGCTACACAACGCTACTTACAGATGGCCACTTTAGATCGGACGACGCATAAAAATCTAAATAGTCATGGCAGAGAAGCCATGTTGGAAAAGAGAGTTGAAAAGAAAGTTGGGCTTGGAGGGCCGGAAAAAACACTAGAAACCAAACACTAGAGTCACAGTAAACTCAGTGACCACAACAAGACCCCGGTAATGAATAAACTGGGGGGGTCTGACAACTATAAAGTAAAAATAAACTGGACTTACGGTTCGGTAGTTCTACCTGAAAAGAGGAAAAATAACAAATTAGCTTGACTCAAAGATTCCAAATCTACAGGCCACGTCATGGAGCAGGAAACAAATTCATTGTAACAGACTGAGATACACTTCCTACTTAAGTGTTAAACCAAACCGTTTTTCTTAAAGAAAGTTCTGGGACTTACCGAACACTTAAAGCTCCAGTTTCCTGCAAGCACAAAACGTATTTGTTTGGCAAGGTCCTGGCGCCAAACCAACGCGACTCAACACCGACTATAGCGACCGACGCAGAGAACAGCACTTTTCCGCGGACCAAACAAATTCAATTAACGCTTGCTCTCAAAATTTAAACCACATGTAGCCACGCCCACTGCGCACGTACCTCGTTGATGATTGGTCTGCGGGAACCGCATCGACGTACTTCCTTTCCCGTGACAGATAATTGGTCTACCTGTGCAGGCTTGTTATGTAACAGCAAGGGGCGGGGGACACATTAAAGGCACAGGCTTCATCAGCTGATCATAGTGTTTGCAGAAAACGGGCCATTCTTTCATATTAAGTGACAGAAT